TCCGATGACTTAGTCCGACAGGACTTGGCTCATGCGGGTAGCGTACCCTAAGGGGGCACGAGGTCCGACCTCGCGTACCAACCTCGACGGAAGAGCCCGGTGGCTTAGTCTGATAGAACTAGGCTCAAGCGGCTAACGTACCCTAAGGGGGCACGAGGTCCGACCTCGCGTACCAACCCCGACGGAAGAGCTCGGTGGCTTAGTCCGGCAGGACTCGGCCCAAGCGGCTTGCGCACCCTAAGGGGGCACGAGGTCCGACCTCGCGTACCAACCCCGACGGGAGAGTCCGATGACTTAGTCCGGCAGGACTTAGCTCATTCGGGTAGCGCACCCTAAGGGGGCACGAGGTCCGACCTCGCGTACCAACCCCGACGGAAGAGCCCGGTGGCTTAGTCTGATAGAACTAGGCTCAAGCGGCTAACGTACCCTAAGGGGGCACGAGGTCCGACCTCGCGTACCAACCCCGACGGAAGAGCCCGGTGGCTTAGTCTGATAGAACTAGGCTCAAGCGGCTAACGTACCCTAAGGGGGCACGAGGTCCGACCTCGCGTACCAACCCCGACGGAAGAGCTCGGTGGCTTAGTCTAATAGAACTAGGCTTAAGCGGCTAACGTACCCTAAGGGGGCACGAGGTCCGACCTCGCGTACCAACCCCGACAGAAGAGCCCGATGGCTTAGGCTCAAGCGGGGCTAGCGTACCCTAAGGGGGCACGTGGTCCGACCTCGCGTACCAACCCCGGCGGAAGAGCCCGGTGGCTTAGTCCGGTAGGACTAGGCTCAAGCGGCTAATGTACTCTAAGGGGGCACGAGGTCCGACCTCGCGTACCAACCCCGACGGAGGTGCCTGGCGGCTTAGCCCAAGGGGACTAGGCTCAAACGGTTAACATAAGGCATTGTGCTAAAAAAAAATGAATCAATAAGGGAGAGCTGATTGTCCATTCAAAACGCCAAGTCAATAGAATGTGCCCACCTCCCAGAGGGGAAACATAAAATGTGCCCACCTCCGGGAGGGGAAGCATGTTTAACGAAGCAAAGACAAAAGGAAGTATCTCCCGGAGGGGAGACATAAAAGCTGCCCACCTCCGGGAGGGGGAACATGTTTAACAAAGCAAAGACAAAAGGAAGTACCTCCCGGATGGGAGACATAAAATGTGCCCACCTCCGGGAGGGGAAGCATGCTTATCGAAGCAAGGTACAAAAGGACACACCTCCCGGAGGGGCTATAAGATATGCCCACCTCCCGGAGGGGAGCCATAAAATGTGCCCACCTCCCGGAGGAGAGACACAAATGTGCCTACCTCCGGGGGGAGAGGCATGTTAGGAAAAGTACAAAGTGGTGGAGCGGAAGACGGAACCCATATGATAAAGAAAGGATGACGCTAATCAAGCCGCTATCAAGTCTAATCCTTGAGGTTGGGGTCGGCCACGTGGGGGTCGGTCACGTTGGGGTCGGCCACGTTGGGGTCGGTCACGTTGGGGTCGGCCACGTTGGGGTCGGCCACGTTGAGGTCGGTCACGTTGGGGTCGGCCACATTGGGGTCGGCCACGTTGGGGTCGGCCACGTTGAGGTCGGTCACGTTGGGGTCGGCCACGTTGTGGTCGGCCGTGTGGGGCTCGGATCCATGGAGTGCGACTCGTGTTTACTCTCCTTCATTAACGAACCTCGGCCCAAGACGCCTCGACACAAGGCACCTCGGCCCAAGAGGGGCTACCTCATGAGCTCACCCAAGAGGAGGACGACTACCTCATGAGCTCGCCCAAAAGTGAACTCAGAAATCAAAGTCTCATACACGATGCAAGGGAGTCCAAGACTTGTTAATGTTCTTGCAGAAGAGAAGAAATCCCGATGGCGATGGAATCACACCGAAGTCGGACAAAGAGGAATGCGGAAGAGAAGAAGTCTCGCTCATGATGGATATATTACGATTGGAGCAAACCGACCCGGGAAAGCGGAACAAGGAAGTATGGAATAGACCCGGGGCATAATGGTGGGGCCCCGTGCTCGGCCCAAGGTGCCTCGGTCATGGTGAGCTCGGTCACAAGAGGTCGACTAATTATCAACTCGGGGCAATCGCGCAGGAGTCGGCTCGCAAGGTGTCTACTCTCTATCGTTGTCGACTTATCACAACGAAGAGAGTGGGGGACTCGTGATGGATATATTGGACCTGGAACGAACCGACCCGTAAGAGACGGACCCGAGAAGCCCCTCGGCCCAGTCAAGTGGGCCGTGGCCGAGTCGGCCCAAGGCATCTCGGCCTTGGGCCGAGTCCGGCCACGGGTGGGCTCGGTACACCCGAGCCCACCACCATGGACCCGGGCACTACCGGGCGGGTCCATGGTGGACTCGTGGACTCGGCTAGGCCGAGCTCGGCAGCTCGGCCAAGCCGAGTTGCCCGCCTTGGACCCGGTCCTGGAGGGACGCGGTCAAGGCGGGCCGACCCAACTAACCCCGATTCTAGGGGTGCAGTTGGGGGGTTTTGAGCTGATATAAAAGGACTCCCTCTTGTCCTAACAAGGGACCTGATCATTACACAACACAATAGATTCCTAAATTGCTATCTTCTAGCCTTATTGTCCTAATCAAGCTTTGTAATAGCTTATTAGCAATAATTAATACAATATACGGTCCCTGCGACCTTATTATATCTCTGCGTCATATTATTTATTTCGTACGTATACTTATCCGGGTTTAATAATTCGGGCTACCCCCGGGGAATTAAATCCATCACATTGATAAAAGCATAATTGAAATATTAAGTTTTGTTCTCAATAATCCAAAGAAGATTAATTAAACAAAAAAAAAAAAAAAACTGAACTTAAATTTATTATTATTTTTTAATGAAAGAAAATCAAATGATTATCAAAGTTCCTGATTTATAATGCTATGTATTTAGTCGGGCTAATTATTTGACCAAAGTTTATGTTAAATTTTAAATTTTATTTTTAATACATTTTAACATATTCGTAGTATATGTTTAACAATTATGCTAACTCTAATTGGAATGAGGTTCGAACCTAAGACCTTTCTTATAGAAATTAATGAGTAAGTTAATAATAATAAATAGTTAACGGAATATTCCGTTAATAAAGTTTATACTAACGGAATTTAAGGTTATTTAAGGAAAGAAAATAACATAATAAAGGGTAAATAAGGAAAATCATTAAAAATACTAAAATCAAAATACTATGAACGATTCATTTTAAGAAACGAGTAGTACCGACATTTTTTTTATTCCAGTTAAGGGCCTAACATTATTCGCTCTTATTAGAATTGTAGATGTAGATGTAGATATAAATAATAATTTAGTATCTACAACAAAAAATTATAGATATGCATTTCTTTAATTTAGAATTATGTGTCCACAATGCCTTTATTCAATAAAAAAAATTATTCATTATCAATAAATTAAATAAGAGAAATAATTGTATTAGTTATATTGTCTTTATTTTTCTACAATATAAAAATTCTTTATATTCAAATTTATTAATTGATTATATTCGCTACATTGTCCTTACAACGTCTTAATTCAGTGAAAAAAAAATTATTCATTATCAATAAATTAATTAAGAGAAATATTTTCATTAGTTATATTGTCCTTATTTTTCTCAAATGTAAAAAATTTTTACATTCAAATTCATCAATTGATTATATTCACTACATTGTCTATCTTTTTTGTGCACTATTTTTCTAATTAAATATCAAAGTTATAATACAAAATAATGCTATATATTTATTTACCAAGTATTTTATTAATACCATGAAAAAAAATAAAAAATATATAATTAATTAAAGCAAACCATATTAACTACTTGAGAGTTTTTCAAAAAAAAAAAAAAAAAAACTACTTTGAGAGATTTTGTGACAAAGAGAGTATTCAAATCACACAACAAATTGAAGTGAGAACTACCTTGCAATGTCCTTGTTTGACAATCAGTAGTTAGCGGATTATATTAGCGGATTTGACCAACGAATTTATTTAATTATTAACATCGGGTAGAAAAAATGACCGTCAAATTATTAAATCAAATGAATGGTCCAAATTGTTCAGGTTTTAATTTTTTTTAATGTTTTTCTAATTTATCCTTAATTATATGATTATCCATTTAACTTTTCCGTTAAATACCATTAATTCACCGTTAGTCTAATTCTAATATTAACGTCTAATATAGAATTATAATTACACCATTAATCTAATTCTAATATTAAAGTCTTAATATAACTTAACCACAAATCCTAATGTCAAAATCTCCTCAAACAATATTAGTATATATTTAATATTTTATGCCCTAATTTTTATTTGTTCTCCCTTATGTCCCGTATTTGGTTTCAACCATACCTATACAATTATTTTATTGACAATTATAATCAATCTTGACTATATTATCTTGCATTTGTAAACTTAGAATTACCTATTTAACCCGCACGGGCTTAGCTCAATGGTCTAGTGGGCAGTATTTGGGAGAAGAGACCAAGGTTTGAACCTCGGCGGCCGCAGTGCGGGAATTATGTCCAAAGTGGGTAGATTCCTTGTTCGCACCGGCATTTGGTCCTGTCTGCTGAACCATTGAGTCACCGTGATTTACAACTTCCCACAATGCTCTGTCGAGTCGGAATGTGGGGGGCCCTTGGGGTTGGGGACTCAACCTTTGCTAGAAGAATTATCTATTTAAATACGCAAATTCAACCTTCAATTATCTATGTATGAACAATTTCAATATAATCTTTTCTTAATATACTTTAAAGTACTTATTTAAAAAAAAAAAAATACATTGCGCAATGCGCGTAAAAAACTAATATATATATATATATATATATATATATATATATATATATATATATATATATATGGCGATTCCCACCTAGATGTGGTGGTTTACTCGTATATAGTTATTTATTTATTTATTATAAATACTATATAGGGAACCCTATATATAGGTACTTTTTATATAAATACTTAAGATTTCTGATCACCATCAACGCTAAGTTGCTAAACACCATCATGTCCAACCTATACTTGGACTTCATCGTTCCCATACGAAAGTGCACGAAGCGTGCACGATCAGCTTCTAATCCACGGATCCGCCGGAATGGGGCTCCGTCATCTCCGACTGCTTCTGCTTCATCGGAAAAGACACCATGCGGCCGGCAAGAAACATCGGATGGATCGAAGGAGTTCAGAGAGTGCAGCCATTGTAAAGCTACGGAGACACCACAATGGTGTGAGGGGCCGATGGGGCCGAACACTCTTTGCAACGCCTGCGGTGTTCGATACCGCAGCGGACGGCTGTTTCCGGAGTACCGACCGGCCAATAGTCCGACGTTGGTTCCTACGTTGCACTCCAATTCTCACCGGAAGGTTGTGGAAATGAGAAGGAAGGGTACTGTTGAGGAAGCTGCGGCCATGGTGGAGGAGGATTCTGTGAAGAGCGCAGCTGCAGCTGATGCCGAGGAAGAGAAGAAGATGGAAGAAGTGAAAAAGTGAAATATAGTCAGAAAACAAAATACAGATTGGGAATTTTAAAATACAAAATGAAATGAATCCGGAAAATGAAATTAAAATAATTTTGAGTTTGACAACTTTATTTGTGCTGGTTGAGCAATTAAAATTTATTGTAACATTTTATTAAAAGTTGTGCTTTGTGAGTCATCATTACGTGATAACTGTATTTTATTTTGTTTGAGTTGTCTTTTAATGTAATCTTAAAATTTATGGTGTGGGAGTCACCTTTACGTGGCAATCGTATTTTTGTGTTGCCTGAGTTGTCTTTGCATACGGACTATCTGAGTAATTAAAGTTTATAGTAACGTTTTCTTAAAAGTCGTGCTTTGTGAGTCACCATTACGTGTCAACCGTATTTTGTGATGTCTGAGTTGTCTTTTAATCGTATTTTTGTGTTGCCTGAGTTGCCTTTGCATACCGACTGTCTTAGTAATTAAAGTTTATAGTAACGTTTTCTTAAAAGTTGTGTTTTGTGAGTCACCTTTATGTGTCAAGCGTATTTTGTGATGTTTGAGTTGTCGTTTAATGTTATCCTAAAACTTGTGTTGTATGAGTCGCCTTTACGTGACAATCGTATTTTTTGTCTTGCATGAGTTGCCTTTGCATACCGAGAGTAATTAAAGTTTAATGCCTTATTTTCAAAAAAAAAAGTTTAATGCCTTGTTTGGTAAAATAGTTAGCCTATTAGCCAATTTTAGATTATTTGACCACTATTAATTGTTTGACTTAGTTAAAAAATCAATATAAGTGTTTAGATAATTAGCTTTTTGTAACTTCAAAATGCTAAAATTCAAAAGGCGGCTCAAACCAACTTTTTCAATTAGCTTTTTGAGAAAATAAATTTTACCAAACAGCTATCAGTGACGATTGAATTTTATGTGTAAAAAATAAAAGAGGGTGACAATTTTATGTAGATTTTGGGAATTTGATAAAAATGTGTAATGTACCGTTCTCATTATGTAGATTTTGAGAATTTGATAAAAATGTGTAATATACCGTTCTCATTATGTAGATTTTGGGAATTTGATAAAAATGTGTAATGTACCGTTCTCATTATGTAGATTTTAAAAATTTGATAAAAATATATAATTTACCGTTCTCATTATGTAGATTTTGAGAATTTGATAAAAATGTGTAATGTATCGGTCTCATCACCGTTTTTAAAGTAGGTTTATTGTTCTATGCATTTAATGAAGAAAGAGAAAAGGTAATTTGCATACATTTTCTCTCTCCTCCATTTCCTAGCCATGTTATATTGTTTTTTATTTTTCTCTAACCCCCATTACTGGCAAATTAATATACTGTGAGGATCACGGTCCAAAACGATGCTGTTAAATTTTATTAGTTAAAATATTATACTTTATGATATGTGTTCGAGAATAATGTACTTTACGTATTAGAATAATGAAACTTCTGAGATAAGATAATGTAATTTATAAGTTAGAATAATGTACATTATAAGTTATAAAAATGTATGTTGCAATGAGTTACGTGAAAAAAAAAAAGTGTTTTAAACAAACCGACATCATTTCCTGAAAAAGAAAATTGTGTTTAAACAAACCGACGTTGTTTCCTTAAAATAATTAAAATTCTTTTAAAATTCCTTAAATAATTTGTAAATTGAAAGTAAGACTTCTTCTTCTCAATTTAAAAAGATTGACCGTGAGAAGAAGGCAATGTCATTGCCTTCTTTCCAAAATTAAAGTAGAAAAGTAATTCAAAAAAAAAAAAAAAAAAAAAAAAAAAAAAAAAAAAGAGAAAATGGGTCAAATAGGCCCTCGAACTTTAGCTTAAAAGTCAATTAGGCCCCTAAACTTTTTAAAGGTGCAATTACACCCATCAACAATTCATTTAAGTGCAATGAAGCCCAAAAACAAATTAATGACCTGCTATCACAGGTCATTAGGGTTCAGGCCACCTTCCCGCGATTTTTTCGGCAAAAAAATAAAGTGACCAGCGAAATTTTCGACAAAAGAAGTGACCGGCGAAATTTCCGGCAAATCTGGGTCGGTTGCTGGTCACCTTTTTTTTTTTGTCGGAAAATTCGCCGGAAGGTGGCCTGAACCCTAATGACCTGTGATAGCAGATCATTAACTTGTTTTTGGGCTTCATTGCACCTAAATGAATTGTTGATGGGTGTAATTGAACCTTTAAAAAGTTTAGGGGCCTAATTGACTTTTAAGCTAAAGTTCGAGCGCATATTTGACCCTTTTCCCTAAAAAAAAAAAAAAGGGGCACAAGTGTTAAATCAATCGTTATGCTATGGACCCGTGTGCAACATGCATGCTAGACACGGGTAACAGCACTGTTATCTCCTCTTTTTTTAAAAAAAAAAAATTTCAGACCGCTTCGTTATAGGAGTATATGTTCATAATTTTATTACTATATGTTACTAATTGTACATTCATAACTCCATAACCGTACGTTCATAACTCTATAACTGTACATTCATAACTCCATAACTGTACATTTATAACTCCATAACTGTACATTCATAACTCCATAATTGTACATTCATAATTTTCGAAGCTCTATGTTCACAATTTTAGAGCTCTATGTTCATAATTTGATCACTATATGTTCATAATTGTAAGTTCATAATGTTAGAGCTCTTTGTTCATAATTCGATCAATAACTGTACATTCATAATTCCATAACTGTAGATTCATAATCTCATAACTGTAGATTCATAACTCCATAACTGTACATTCATAACTCCATAACTGTACATTCATAATCTTCGAAGCTCTATATTTACAATTTTAAAGCTCCATGGTCATAATTTTATCACTATATGTTCATAATTGTAAGTTCATAATGTTAGAGCTCTGTGTTTATAATTTCATAATTGCATAACTGTACATTCATAACGGCATAACTGTACATTCATAATCCAAAAATAAATAAATAACGCCGTTAACGGCAAAACACGAGCGAATTTGTTTTTTTTTTTTTTTTTTTTAACTAAATGACGCGTTTTTTTTTTAAACGACGTCGTTTTGGGCCCGTGTCCACAATGAATTGTGGACACAGGTCCAGGGCATAATTTGCCGTGTTAAATAAACCCATCTATTACTGCAAAGTGCTCAATTCTCACCACGAACTAAATTATGTGTCAAATAGGCCCATCAACCAACTAAATTTGTTCAATTGACATTTTTTATAGGTTGCCTATTTAATTATTAAAAATAAATAAATAAATAGAATAAAAATTTAAAAAAAAAAAATTAAAAAAAAAAAAAAAAAAAAAAAAGAATATCAGCCACCGGCTGTCCGGCGAGGACACAGCCGGTAGCTGCCCTTTCGCAGACAGCCGTGGCTGTCAACAATGAGGTCCAGATCTAGACCTCAAACAGCCATGGACGGCCATGGTCGTCCCCAGACAGCCATGGCCGTTTGGAATGAGGGCAGCGGCCATGACCGGCGCCCTCGTTCCAAGCCGTTTGAGGTCCAGATCTGGACCTCATTGTTGACAGCCGTGGTTGTCCAACTGTCCTCGCCGGACAGCCGGTGACTGATATTCTTTTTTTTTTTTAATTTTTTTATTCTATTTATTTATTTATTTTTAATAATTTCATAGGTAACATGCTAACAACCTGTAAAAAATGTCAATCAAACAAATTTAGCTGGTAGATGGACCTATTTGGCACTTAATTTAGTTCGTGGTGGGAATTGAGCACTTTGCAATAGTAGATGGGTCTATTTGACATTTGTGCGAAAAAAGGGCAATGGCATAGCTGCTTTACAAAAAAATGTCCAAGATTTTAAAATTACATAAAATTGTCTGTCATCTCCAAATTTATACATTTTAAGTTATGACTCTATCAGCTAACAGCTAATTACCAAACACTTTTCTACAATCAGCTTATATTATCAACTAGTTATACCATCAAATTAACCCAATCAGCTAACAGCTAACCGCCATTTACCAAACATGGCCTATAGTAACGTTTTCTTAAAAGTCATGCTTTGTGATTCACCATCCCATTAAGTGGCAACCGTATTTTCTGTTGCTTGAGTTGTCTTTTAACGTTATCTTAAAACTTATGTTGTGTGAGTCGCCTTTACGTGACAACTATATTTTTGTGTTGTCTGGATTGCCTTTGCATACCGATTGTTTTCACTCCATACCATGGTTGAATATTTAATGCTCAAAAGATAACTCTCTTCCCTCTTGACCTCAACTGCAATAAGTTTTCATAGTCACGGTTACTTCAATATTAAGTCTAATAAGTACATTTAAGCTAACTATCGAAATATAAACTGAAGTGAAATCCTAATTAACATAGACGTACGTGGAATATATATACAACCCAAAAAAAGTATTCTAACAGCATATTTCATAATCTACAAAGAATAGATAAATGTATTTATAGTAGTCGAAACCCATGTGATTTTTCAATGTGAATAAAGCTAAGGCTTATTCATAACCTTTCCAAACAATATTTTCCCAACTTCATACATTGGAACACTTTGGAATCAATGCCTCATTACCCATTATCTGTTTTAAGTGTATAAATATATAAAGTTCATCTTCTTATATTGAAGAATTTAAATTCATTTTTGACACAATCCAAATTGGTAATGGAACTCCATTAAAATAATAATGCTTCAAAATGACTACTTATATATCAATTTTTTAGACTATATTTTCTTTTATAGGATGCATGCATCGTCTCTCGTATATGTTAAAATGTTGACACTATCTATATATTTAAGCCGTTGTTAGGTATAAAGTGTAAATAAATTTTGATGATGCAAAATGTAAAGGAAGATTAGCATTTAGACCTCAAAATTTTTTTATTTTGTAGACCTAAACAATATGTTTTTGTCACTGAAATATTCGTAGTGTGTTGTGTGTTAAGCTACAAGAGAGTTCAACACAGTATGTAGAAGTTTGCTACAAACTTCATGATAAGGTCATCAACAACAGACCTCTTTCCTCTTATGCCCCTCCTTTTTATTTATAGGAATCATTACTCTTAACATTCTGACATTATAAAATTCCCTTGTACTTCTAATTCATTTTTTTATTCTATTTACTCTGTATGTTGATTTGCATGTCTTCTTCACTAATAACTTCTAATATGAACTTAAATTGTAACTATCTTAAATGAAGTCTATCTATTCCAATAAGAGAAACAAAATTAATAAGGGTTGACTATGGCCCTATTTGGTAACTTTTAATACGAACTTAAATTGTAAATATTTTAAATGAATGTAAAATGTTTGATTAATTAGTTTTTTTTAACAATTTATTGTTTCAAAATGTTAAAATTTAAAAAGCTGTTCAAAATAACTTTTTCGATCAGTGTTTTAATAAAATTATTTTGCATATAATCAACTATTAGCTAAGCACTTTTCTACAATCAACTAATCATATCAATTGGTCAAACTCACTAACCCAATCAGGCAGCTATTTACCAAACACACATATGGCTATAGGGAAAGAGAAAGAAAAAAAAAAAAAAAAAAAGGATGACCCCTAAAATCAATCACACAAGACCATGGTTGCAGTAGGCGCTAGGCGCTAGTCGGGCGGCCGTGCAGCGCCTAGCGCCTAGGCGGACACCAAAAAAATTAAAAAAAATAGTGACAGACTCGTAGTTCGACAATTTTAATGAGGTTGTTTTCAACGTTCACTCAAATAACACATCTAAATAGATGAAATAATGATAATTTATAAGTCATAATGTCATAATAATATTAAAATCAATAATTAATGAAAGACGACATCGGTCAAAATTGGTCAAAATCAGACAAAATCGGTCGAAATCGGTCGACTCGGCCGAGTTGACCGACTCAGCCGAGTTGGCCGAGTTTGGCCGCCCAGACCTCCTAGGCGGCCGGCCGAGTTTTGGCCGCCTTTAGGCTAAAACTCTAAGGCTCGGTGCCGCCTCGAGTTTTGCAACCTTGCACAAGACTCATTCATTATAAAAATATCATATAAAAATTGTCTGGCACACATAAGGGCAAAAGCAGCAATGCCCATATGAAATTATTTAAAGAAAAGACTCAAAAAAACCACATTGATTCAGCAACAAAATGAAATTCTTACAGAAAAACTCTAAAGTGTTACCACTTGAAAATGCATTGAGGAATGCTGACATGTATGTTTAGACTTCATCATGGAAACTGATCTAAAACCATGATATCGGAACAAACATATATAAACATTAAGCATTAAACGATCAGATCAGGTCGTGCCATTCTCAGTCACTGGTACCTTCTTAGATTTCTCGCTCGTATCCAACTGGCTGAAGTTCCCCTTTTCCTTGAACAGCTGAGTGTGGTGGTGCCTGCAATACAGCTTATGCTCGTGTGCTACATAATTTGATGGACTGATCACACAGCCGCCATGACTGCACTTGAAGCAAGCCCTGTGGTACGATGTTCCATCAACCGCTACCTATAGAAAGAAACAACATCCAACGTGAATTAGGATCTTTGATTGAAATCGGTTCATGTACCTATACATTTGTGCTCCATTTGGCACACACAAGAATCAGGTAGGAAAGGGGCAACCCCCAGCCAAGATGGTTAAGGATATCGACTTGTAATCACAAGGTCACGAGTTTGAATCCCAACCTTCTTGGTTTGAGCCGGTCAGCTAACTAGTTCACCTCGTGATCCTTTGCCGGCTAGAGTCACAAGGCGGGGCAGCACACCTTCAGGTAGTGGCTGCGAGTTTCCCTCGTCACCCCAAAAAAAGAGGAATACAGGATCCATTCTTTTTGTGATCTTAAACCAACTTTTCTTTTCTAGCTTAATAACATTTAGCAATATCTTACCTTTTCAATGGGGTAAACTGTTTTCTTGCAAGCAACGCATTTATCTTGAGTTCCCGCAAACAGGCTTGAAACTTTGCTGCTTGTGTCCCTGTCCGATAAGTAATAGCAGAAATTTGATCAAAACAACACAACAAATGGTGCAAAAACAAAAATATAGCTGTGCCTTAACCATCTAGAAACTAGATGTTAGTACCTGATCTGCAGCTCTTTCCCTCACCATTTTTGGAGCCCCTGCACAAGGTGGTGAAAGGGATAGAATAAGCTTTGAGGTACGAACAAGACTTAGTAATTATAGGTGAAACGGAACTCGATAATTGCTTTTACCTTCAAAACTCTTATCCAAGCTACCAGTCATTTTGAAAAGTTGATCAAAGTGTGGTTTGCAATATAAAACTCCTTCGAAGGAGTTGTAATTGCTGAGCTGCAAAGAATAAGACCAGGAAACAAATATCTATTAAAGCTTATTTGATCATATTTTCGATGGAGATCATTAAAAAATCCCATGATTGACTGACAGTGAGTTTGGACAGGTAATATCCAACTGAAAGGAGGAAAACGCTAACGATAGACACACCATGTGTGCGATTTCAGCAGGCACGAGTTGACAAATAGCATCACTAGCCTAGTAGGTGCAACATGAAGGGGAAGCAAGCGATTTTAATGCAAAGACACCAAAAACAATCAAGCAAGCCAATTAAATCTGACGAGTCCAAAGCTTAAAGGCAACAGAGAACAACAAAATCCACTGTTAATTCCCTTTAAAGCAAGAAGCTAGGCTCCATTTGGTATATGGGAAACATGCAGGAATCAAATCATAAATCCATTCAAATTTCTGATTTTTTACCTTCATTGGGTAAGTTGTGTTTCCTTAGGAAACCCTATTGAACTCCTATGAGAAAACAATCAAATGAAATGGAGCAAATTTGCTCCTTATTTGATCAAGGTTCTTCCATTTCTATTGACAAGACTAACTCTGGATTTCAACAGAAATAAAGAAGAAAAACATGTGTTTTTACCAAGAAATCGCTAATTAGTATCTTAAAATCATTAAAAAAAAAAAAAAAAAAAAAAAAAAAAAAAAAAAGGAGCGATTCAGCTTTAGAGCCCCACGGCATCTGGCAATACACAACTATACAGCTATGTTCCTCCTGAACTTTTTAGTTGATAGCTTGTATGGGGTTCTTGAGTATTTCATTCTACTTATTTTTAAAAAGTAACGAGTCATGGCTGGAATTTACATAAGAAACTTAACAGTTGAACTGGTACACACAACACTGCAAAAGAATATCACCAGAATCATTAAGTTAAGAAGAACTTAACTAATACTAAGTACCTGGCAAGAAGCTCAGATAATGCAGAAGTGGAAAGTGAAATGTCCTACAAAAGATGCCATCCACCAAATTTGGAAAATCAGAAATTGTCATAACAGCTTATATCCGAGTGCAAAGCTTTAACTCCATATTCAATACTACTTGATTGCATTGTATACAGTTCACTCTAAAAATGCAAAACTTGAACTACAATACTCTATAGTATCCTGTTAATAACATTGGTCTTGATCATTCTTTATTTGCACGGTTGTACCAAATGCTTTCAACACTGCAAAGTAAAAACTACCAATAGTCATTGCATAAACAATTTCCTCCTCTGAAAGTGTGGAAACGAGAGCGACCTCTCACAATAATATCTCTTTTATAAACTTTTGAAATGGCCTTCAGAGCAGAATGACAATCCTCACAAGTTTAAACAATTTCCTACTTTGTCTTATTACTAATTTTGGGCCTAAAAAAATAAAAAAATCACATGTAGCATGGAAATTCACCGGTTCCAATTCCTCGCCTCTGAGGTTACCACGCTGGAGGGCGGATTCTACCTGTTCAACAACAAAGCTATTCTTCCTGCAGTCTATACTCCATGTTTTCTGTTCTGTGTTTCTCTGAAATGTGTTAAACAAAACTAGTTGTACAGCCCTGCGAATATAATCAACTTTTCTTCCATTCTTTAGCACATGAGAAAGAGAGTTTAAGCCCCTCTGCACCATTATTTGGCACCCAAAGGCAATGAAGCACAAGGGGCAACAGATTGATGGAGGAGCACCCAAATATCCTCCTCCATCAATCTGTTGTCCCTTGTGCTTCACTGCCTTTGGGTGTGCAAATAATGGTGGAGAGAGAGCTTAGGCTCTCTCTCTCATATGCAAAGCACAAAGAAAGAATGGAAGAAAAGTTGATGATGTGTACAACTAGCTTTGTTTAACACATTTCAGAGAAACACAAACATAGAACAGAAAACATGGCGGATAGTTCGGAGGAAGAGTAGCTTTGTTCTTGAACACGTACAATCCGCCCTTCAGCGGTAGCCAGAGGCGAGGAATTGGAACCGGTGAATTTCCATGCGGCGGTGATCGGAAGCAATGATTTTTATTTTTTGTAATTTCAATTGTTCTAAAATTAAATTTTGAATTTTGTTTTTACGAATTGCTTATGTAGAGATATTAATAAGTTATACGGAGTAATAAATAGAGAGAGGTTGGCGTGATGAACCTGGTAGCAGAAGTGAACTCCCTCGCGGTGGTTCAAGTTCTCAACAATAACCTGGATTCGTCGCCGAAAGCCGACACGCTCGGAAACTGCGGATATCTCTTGGTAGAGTGACCTTTTTGTTAGTATCCTGCTAACAAAATGCAATAAATAGTTGAAGAATGATAACCTTCTAGGGTTTGAAGAAGAAAGGTAAAGGTGAGAACATTTGAAAAAGAAAATACATTACAGGCAATGGTTTACCTCTGTCTTTGTTTCCAATTCAGCAAGTTTAATGTAAATTTCAACCATTTGCTTCATCTATTCCAAGGAAAAAGTAGCCAATTCATGACAAACAGAAATATGAGAAAAAGTGAAAGTAACTCAAACAAACAAAATGCGAATGAGCCCTATACCTGCCTAAGGATTGCTCCATGGTAAGAAGATAACTCCTTCAAGAGATTCTCCGCTGCAACTTTTTTGTCGATATCAACCATAAAGGAATTTTTACTGCGCTGCTTATCTTTAATGCAGTCACCATTTGCCAAAGCTAGCAGCTAAAAGCATAAAAGGGACAAACTTTAGATAGAGGATGACTGAAGAAAAGATGGCTATAGGAAATTCAAAATTTACTTGGCGCAAACAGTATACCACTATACCAGATTCATTAACAAGAAATTTACTACTTGAACAATAAGCCTAAGTAAATACCCTGGATGAAAATGCATTCCCCCAACTTATGTACCTGGAATATTGTATGATATGGATGGTCAATAGCCAATTTCTTCACCAGAGAAACCAATGCAAACTACACAAATGTAAGGCATAATATCCAATTAGCCAGATTGGTTTCTCATAAAATGACCAAAACATAATTTACTCTAATTTGTATTGTCATGCAATGAGAAGAATGAAGATTCAGGTAGCTTATATTCATACCTGAAAGCTTTGTGGCCCATGACCATCTTTTGTATTACCCATCCTTGAAGCGATTTGGTAAACCAATGGTACAAACTTATACGACTGAACCTGAAAAAGCAATTGCTAATATTGATGATGAACCATGTTAAATGACAAGACAACTTATGAAATATAAAGCATACAGCTTTTGAGCAGGATGCCACAAAGAAGGTCACTAACAAAAGCTATTAATCAATTAATTAATCAATAAATGATTAAATAATAAATATGAAAGCATACCTCATTAGCTGTGCAAAGCATGCTATCAACAACAATTGATCTAGTTGATAAATTAAACCACAATGAAACAAGACGAAATACCTGGACAACACAAGCAAGTCAATATTCTAGCAATCCCCCATACAAACAAAGAACAGTGATGCCTGTAGCAAGTACCCTGAGAAATTTCTATCTCACAAAAGCAAGCAGCAATGTTTAAAATGTGTATAGTTAACCTCCTTCTCAAACTGAACAATAAAAATTAACTTATTTCACATAATATTTACTTTGCCATGCTATACACTACTCACAAGATTATCAATTTCACAATAAATGCACTCATACAAACATTTTTGTGTTGGATTACAAAGTGAATAATTTTTGCTTTGTGCGGATAGTATCAGTAAGATCCATTCTACTCTTTCCCCTTCACCATCTCCTACAGGACTACATTTTGTTGAAATTGAGAGATTCAAAGGTCTGGTAAGTGGTGAATAACAACCACCCACCAATTAGGCAGAAGAAAAATATATGAGAGCTCCTATATATATATATATATATATATATATATAGGAACATTGAGCTAAGCCACTCCTACTAAGAATAGGACTAAGGTTTCCTGTTTTCAACACTCCACCTTATGCTGGAACATCTAAAAGTTCCAAGCTTGAATTAAAACAAACACTCTACCTCACTTGAAACTACCAAAAAAAAAAAAAAATGGATGTGGCTAGAGGATAACGGTGTCCGATGGCTTTGGAAGACAACATTTATACACAACCCTCGGGAATGAAGATAAAAGCACCAAGGGTGGAGCTAAACACAAACAATCCCAAAATAACATCATTAACATGGCAACACAAACACTCTAGGACCAACACTAAAAAGGCTTTAAACAGTAGAGGTGAAACAGAGCAGAAGCGACAAAGGATACAGGAATATGACCCATAGTGATAGGGCACAGAGCAATGAAGTGAAGCCCATAACAATGAAAAGAACAATGAATGACCTTGGCAAATAAAATATAACAGTGTCAAAATTGAACACCCTTATGAAAGAAACTCTAAAGTATGATTTATGAAGTTTTCCCAACTTACTGGAAATCAAAATTTTTAAGGAACCAAACATCAGAATCTCTAAAGTACTTACCACTCTGACATCATATTTATCTCCAATGACTAGACATTGTTTATATTCATCCAGTGCTGTGTTTAGAAAGTTATCCCTGTCTTCATGTGTAGACAAGGAAATATTTTCAGTTATAAAATTATGCCTAACTGAGTATATTTTCATTAGGCTTTTGGCATTTTAATCAATTTTTTTTATTTACATACCTTAATTTTAAACCAAACAAGGAATCCAACATTCCCTAAGGTAATATAATATTCCAACCAAATGCCCTATATCTGGCTAGCTACATAAGCAAAGGTACATAACAAAGAACAAAAACAAAATTCAAAATTTAATTTTAAAACAATTGAAATTAAAAAATAAAAAAAAATCACCGCCGCCTCTGACGCCGCAGCATGGAAATTCACCGGTTCCAAATCCTCGCCTCTGACGCTACCGCTGCTGGAGAGCGGATTCTACGTGTTCAACAACAAAGCAATTCTTCCTTCGATCTATCCTCCGTACAATCCGCCATCGAGCGGTAGCGTCAGAGCCAAGGAATTGGAACCGGTGAATTTCCATGCGGCGGCGGTGATCGGAACCAGTCAATTGTTTTAAAATTAAAATATTAATAAGTTATACGGAGTAATAAATAGAGAGAGGTGGGCGTGACGAACCTGGTAGCAGAAGTGGACTCTCTCGCGGTGGATTCGTCGCCGGTAGCCGGATCACTCATTCTTTCGTTTCCCACGTTTAGGGTGCTGATTTCCTCGCCAACCTTGGGCAAAACTCGTCGTCTCTTTCAACCTCCGGAAGGACTCCTTCATCTTCTGTTCGACGCTTGCGAAATTGCTACACGAATTCAAGGATTAGTTAAATCCCCTAGGCCTTTACCAAAAAAAAGAGAGGTGATGGTATATCTATTCTATCTATAGCTATATATATAATTAGAGCAAATACAAATTTTGATCCCACCAGTATACACAAAATGACAGTTTTGGTCTATATGTTTAATTCCTACCAATTTCTATCCACGATTATTGTTTAGTACCAATTTTCATCCATGACCATTGTTTTAGTGTCAAAATTCATCACGCCGGTCACCCCTTCGTTTAAGACATGTCGAAATATGAAATTATTGGTATTTTCATCACTTTTCAAATTAAGATCCCAATTTGAACATGAATAAATTGATTTAAGCCCTAAAATCGATCTCAATTCGCAGTTCTCCTCTTCAAATTAAGGTAGGATGAGGATGATAACTCTGAATTAGGATCGACCTTAGGGCTTAACACCCTTTATTCCTACTCAAATTGTGATCTTAAGTTGAAAATAACAAAAATACCCTAAAAATTTTAGATTTTGACATGCCTTAAATGGAGGGGTAACCGTTGAGCAAATTACTGAGCAACTAATAATAATAATAATAATAATAATAATAATAATAATAATAATAATAATAATAATAATAATAATAATTCAAACAAAACGATATACAAAATAAAATTAAAATTAAAAAATTAAGAAGAAGACAAAAGGTAGCCACGAGTTTCCCTTTTTAAATAGGGATGGCAATTTCAATCCGCCCCGTGGATATCCACCCCGCATGGATCGGATTTTTTTGGGTGGTAGAGAGTGGTGGATCGGGAGTGGGTCTTAAAAAAGTAAACCCGCGGTGGGTCGGGTTGGATTCGGGTTTTATGTACAAAATTCGCCTAGAACCTCACCCGACCCACCATGTAGTTATTTATAAAAGTTTTTATAATTTCAAGTAAATTTTTACTATTTTTATATTTAAACTACTAAGTTTATTTTTAAAAATTAACAATTTAATTTTATATTTAAATATTTCTATTATTTTATGTTTTATATAATTAATTAATTTTATTATTTTATTATGTGTTGGTAATTTAAATATTATTTTTTTGAAAAAAAATAACAAGATTATAAGTGGTGGGTACCCGTAGTGGGCACCCGCACCCGATAGGGGTGGAGGCGGGTTTTGAAAAAGTCCACCCGATGAGGGTTGGGGGTAGGGGTGGGTGGAGAAAATATAAGGTGGGTCGAGCGATGGATGTTACCCTCCCCGACCCACACCCAATCCATTGTCATCCTTATTTTAAAATGATATTGGATCATTTTGATCCCACATTGAAAATGTTTGGAAAATGAGCTCATGAGGAGCAATGCTCCTTTTACAAACATAATTGTCTGTCCATCAATGTGGGCAAGTATTGAGAAGTTCAAAGACTCTTTTTATTGTTGAGTACTATTGACCCGTCAAATTATGCTGTGGAATCGTGTCCACCAAGTAAGGTATACACGGTTCTAAAATTGTTCATAATTATAAATAAATAAATATATATATATATATATATATATATATATATATATCAAAAGAGTATTATTCACAAAAGGATTTTATCAAAAGTATCAAACAATTAAAATTTTGAAGTATTCAATTATTTTCATTTTCCTACTCATTTTTTGGAAAATGAACCAAACGCACAAACACAGTTTTTTGTTGCGTAGCCAAACACCGGAAAGGAAAATATTTTCTAGAAAATGACTCATTTTCAATATAGCAAAAAAATATAGATTGACAATTTTAAAATTTCAAAATACAAAATGAAATGAAATTGAAATGAATCCAGAAAATAGAAACTGAAATTAAAGTAGTTTTTAGTTGACAGTTTAAAATTATCTACACCAGTAGATATTTCTTGGTTTTTTATAAGTCCCGTGATGAAGTGAATAAGAGAGAAAGTGGTGAGAGAATGAACTTTTATCTTCTACAAATGAAGAGTTTTTTCTGTTTTCAAGAAAAGAGAAATAAATGGAGAATAAGATCGAGCTCTTGTGCGCATTTTGCGCATAGCAAACGCGCAGCCTTACATGCGCCAGTCGTCGCGTTCACAAAAAAAAAATAAAAAAAATAACAAATTCACAATTTGCGACGAAAAAATTTCATCGCGAAAACACAAAATTTCGTTGCAAATCGCATTTTGCGACGAAATTTTTCATTTTTACAACGAAATCTATTCGGTAGTCTCAAGGCTTGTCGTATTTCATTTCGTGACGGAAATAATCCGTTGCGAGCGATGGCGACGAGATTTCATTTTGTCACCATTTTCGATGCAAAATTACGACAGAACACGTTATGTTGCAAAAATCGTCACGAATTGACAACGGATTACGTTCCGTCGCGATTCGTGATTTTTCTTGTAATGGGTTTTACTTTTTTTTTTTTTTTTTTTTTTTAATGTGTCAGATTTCAGTACCTTTTTTTTTCTCTCTTTTTCTCTTTTTTTTTTCCTTTCACATTCTCTCTCCTAATCACACTTACAAAAACTCCTCAAAAATCACCAAACAAAAAAAAAAAAAAAAAAAAAAAAAAAAAAAAAAAACTCCACTATTATGGATGCTGAAGAAGGAGCGTTATGTCATGGAACCGTCGTGTTCACCATTCATGGTTAACACGGTTCCAACGGTGTTAGTACACCGTTATCTTTTTTTTTTTCTTAATTAATTGTGTGACTTTTCTTCTTCATTTTCACATTTTGCGGTTTCACTTTAATTTGAGGTGAACAATGATTTCGGACATTCATAAATTATGAATTCATGCCTGCACATTCACTTTGAAACCATGCCTACACATTCCCGTCCGAAATCACGGACATTCATAAATTATGAATCCATGCCTACACATTCACTTTGGAACCATGCCTACACATTCACTTTGGAACCATGAGATTATGAATTTTCAGTTATGAGATTATGAATTTTCTGTTATGAGATTATGAATTTTCTGTTATGCGATTATGAATTTTCTGTTATAGAAAATTCATAATTTGATCAACGCGCGCCGTTAACTCCACATCCGCGAATTATTTTTTTTTTTTGCCTAAAAACGACGTCGTTTGGCATTGTGTTCACCATTCACGGTGAACACGTTTCCAGGGCATAATTTGCCGCTGAAGAAGGCAATTTATATCCTACACCACGGTGCGCGTTGCACTGTGCGTCCAGATGCAAAACGACGTCGTTTTAATTTTTTTTTTTTTAAATATTTCCCGCCCAGTGAATGGCAGTAATTTTTTCTTTAAAAAAAAACTCGCTGTTCAAAAATGTACATAATGTTATACTAGAATACACATAATTGTATACATGAATGTACATAACTATATAACCAAATATACATACTCTTTTTAAAAGATAATACACATAATCTAACATAATACATAATAAATATAAACTTTTAACATAATATACATCAACTCTTAACATAATACACACAAATTTTCTGATTCGGATGTACATAATTGTAGAAAAAGAATGTACATAATTGTATAAAAAATGTACATAACTGTATGAACAAATACACATAATTGTATGAACGAATACACATAATTGTATGAACGAATACATAATCCTAGCAACTTCCTACCGCGCCTCCCAAAACGACGTCGTTTTGGGAGGCGCGCGGCGCACAGTGTTATGTGCGCCGTGGTGTAGGATATAACGATTGAAAGCGGCAATTTATATCCTACACCATGGCGCGCGTTGCATTGTGCGCCCAGATGCAAAATGACGTCATTTTAATTTTTATTTTCATTTTTGAAATTTCCTGCCCCCGTGTTTGGCAGTTAATATTTCTTTAAAAAAACTCATGTTCAAAAATGTACATAATATTATACATGAATGTACATAATTGTATACATGAATGTACATAATTTTATAACAAAATATACATACTGTTTTTTAAAAGATAATACACATAATCTAATATAATACATAATAAACATAAACTTTTAACATAATACACATCAACTCTTAACATAATACACAAAAATTTCATGATCCGGATGTACATAATTGTATAAAAAGAATGTACATAATTGTATAAAAAATGTACATAATTGTATGAACAAATATACATAATTATATGAACAAATATACATAATCACAGCAACTTTCTACCGCGCATCCCAAAACGACGTCGTTTTGGGAGGCTCGCGGCGCACAGTGCTACGCGCGTCGTGGTGTAAGGTATAACGATTGGACAAAAGCAACGCGACTCATGGTTAATGGGCAAGGAAGCCCAACCGGAGGTAATGCA